TATACAGATCTGTGTAAATCTTTCTACATATTTTTCCAATAGTTCTGCACTCATGATGATGAAGGTGTTGTATAGGTAAGCACACAATTCCTTCAGTTATTTTCATCAAAGACGCTGGCTTTCTGGCCTTTTTAAAAAAAGAATCAGTCTCCAAATTAAACAAGCACTGCTATTTTATTTTAAAAGCTTTCATCAGCTTTTCCAGCTGCTGTAGAGAGCTTTATAGAATTACTGTAAGAGATGCCATGACATAACTAATGCTTTTAACTAATAATAACTAATAGCAATTTGAAAAACCAGTTCCTCAAATGAGAAAAGCGCAGATTGTGCCAAGATAATATTGGCCTAAATAGTTAAAAGTAAACTCTCTAGTATTGATTTATAGCAACAACACACAGAAGAAATGGATGGACAAGGACACTCCAGAGAGGAAACATTCGCCCTGATCAGGGTGGAGAAAGAGATGCTTAGAACTAAAGGACAAGTTTAAACATAAATTAAAAGCAGCGGCTCACAACTACTAATAGAACACACAAACATGTGCTTCTGCTTCTTTTGCTCAGAAACAGATCTACTTTTCTTTCAAGTCTAAGTTTACTGCAGAAAATGCCAACAATGGCCAACTCCATACCCAAAAAGCAAAGCCACTAATCTCAAAGTTTCCCACATGCAAGGTTTAACATATACATCTACACAAAACACCCCCTGCCACCCCCCCAAATAAAAAAACCAAACCATCGTCTAAGCTTTAAATTACTTTGGATTTTAAAAGCTGATTTGAGAACAGCGATTAAACTTGTTCCAGCTAACCTAGTTTTTATTCATTTCATTATTTATTGCTAGGCAACATAGACCGTGTCAAACCATGTTAGAACCATGAGAAGAAGTCCTTCCAATTTAGATTAAAAAACTCTCTTCTCGCCCTCCTCCCCCTCAATGTGGAGGCCAGATGTATTCTTATTACATCAGTGTTCCCAGACACAACCTTTTTCCTGACCAGGAGCTGACATTTCAAACTCTCTTCTCAACATCTTCCATAATATGCAGTTTATCTAAACCTCATGTGGTGCCTGTAAATAGCTCTCTAGATCATGCTTGCTCAAAGAACAAGTCTTAGTATTTACAATCAGAATTAGTCCCAGCCACTAAACCGGCAAGTCCAGAGCAGGTCTCTCATTCACACAGCTATCCTTTTCTTCCTTCCTAGAAGACACCAGCTTCTTCCAATATCCCTGTTATCTGTGGTCTGTATACGAGTACCAGTACAGAAAAGACTGCCCACTACCTTTAATATTACTTCCTTTCATCACAAGGAAGTTTTGAAGAACTCCGAAAAGGAAGAAAAACAGGAAAGATCAGAGATCCAGGATCCCAAACAAACCATAAGCAGAGCGCTCTTAATTAAACATTTCCTCTAGCATTAAGTTTAAATAAACCCTACAACTTCTTTAATAAAGCAAAATAAAACATCCTACCTTTTGTTTATAGGCTTTTCATCTTTCTCATAAGGCTTCACAAACCATTTCCCAATGCGTACAAAATTCCGATTCATTAAACACCTCTCCAGCAGGTTGTGAACAGCTTTGAAAAGTAGAGTGCGACATTCATATGAAAGTCCATTTTCCCAAACACCATCTTCCTCTTCTGTAAGGCAAAGTGAAAAAATAAATTAGCGTTGAATCTCATCCTATTATTTCATGCACATATCACAACATCCTTCTCTCTCCCGCAAGCTTTTAAGACATTCACAGCATAACATGCAACTGAAGAAAAGCCTGCAACATTCAGATAATAACTCTACTCATGTTATCACAGTGTAACTGTTGAAAGTAATCAGCTATAAAAATATCTCATATCCCACAAGAAAAAAAGATTCAACAGCTATTTGTACACAAAAGGAAACAACTGGCACCAATACGCTATGTATTTCAGCCTGCAAGATCTTTGTAATCTGCAAGGTGGTTCATGTTTTTGGCAGCCTGAATTACTTATCCTGAAGAGTTAGCTGACAATTATGCTTAAAAATAAATTGCACAGCCAAGTTGATTTGCCAAATCATAAAGCAAGATTCATTACAAGAAGCCGTAATCTTCAGCCACTCTGGCTCGTAATCAGTGTTTGAACAGAGTTTACAGGCCCTAGAAGTATATGCACTGGTCCAAAGAATTACAATGGCATTACAGCTACATTACAAAAGTAAAATGAGGGACATCTGAAAGCTCCTGTAGTATCTCTCAGTATATACATAGTATCATTCATTCCCAGCAATACACTAATATGGAGGATAAGAAAAGAACTCAAGAATTTGTCCTTAAATTACTAGCAATCAGGTCTTATTTTTATGCCCACAGTTCCTTGTATATCATGTTTTACATATATCCCTAAGGATCTGCTACTGGTCACCTTGGACTCACCTAGAACAGCTATTCTTAAAATGTCACTGCCTTTACACTCCAGGTAGCAGCAGAGACTGGAAGACTGTCTGACATAGATAAGGAGACATATTTTTACCTCAGTCTCTGGAAAGTCAAGGAATAATTTAGGTTGAAAGGGACCTGTGGAGGTCTCATCTGCTCCAACCTCCACTCAGAGTTCAAAGTTAGAGCAGGTTGCTCGTAATCTCCCATTCATTGCCTCTCATGACTTCTCTGCACACCCCTAAGAACCAAGACTTGGGTTCAGGTTTGGTTCTGGACAACAAGCCTTACGATTGCGGCCTGTCTCTTCACCTCTCCTTCGCAGAGGATCTGGGTTCAAACAGCTTTCCACTGGTTTGCTTGAGAGTCAGAAAAACTCAGTAATACAGCCAAGTCCTTGTATTTTAAATCCCCCTTTGAAATAAGCCCCTTCACCTTTATCTGGAAGCCACTTACAAGCTTAAAAGGTTGCAATAGTATTAACTAAAGTCTCAATATCCTTAAATTAGAGGGTATGTAGAAAACCAGACACCTAAGAGTTTTATTTAGAAAAAAAACAACCCTTACAATTTATTACAATAGACAATCTTTAAGACAAGGATGACAGAGAAAGGGATTTCAAGATACTACTGCAACAGCAAGGTGGTGCCATATTTGTATATTGCTGGATTCCACACAAATGGAAGCACATTTCCACTCAGATCAGCATTGTGAGTTAAAGAAAATTACTCCCAGGTTCCTTTTCTTTGAGAGACAGAAGAAGAGTAAACAGACCTGCCCCGTAATTTACAAATGAAACAGTGCACACCATTACAGATGAATCATTTCATGACATAGTTTTGTGGTAAAGACATGAAAAAGCCAGGAATCACATTTCCTAAATAAGAGACCTCACCATCGGTTTCCCACCCCATCACCGTATTCCAGTTCTGAAGTCCAGCAAAACTACTTTTTTAAAAAAACTATTATGCTAAAAGGTAATACAGTAACTCACTAAAGAAACATTGTACAAGAAGCTTGTAACAAAAAGCAACAAAAGGTCCAAAGTCAAAGGGTACAAAGTGTTTGTGCCAAGAGGACACATTTTTCCCCAGTTCAGAGATTTGTAGCTGCACACAAACGAGCAGCCCTATCCCCCAGCAGCTCTGCTGTTCAGCACACACTGCTCAACTGGTGGCAAACAAGCAGCTCAATAGAGCAAACATTAACTACAAAGCTTAATGATATTGGACTTTAACTGCACAATAAACTCCACACCATTTCAAAGGTTAAAATAGTTGGCTTCTATATAGCTCCTGTAATTTAAAAAAGTCATTCTAAGAACATCTCCTGCATCAGTTACCTATTACCAGACGAAAGAGTTATTTTCAATCTTTTTGCCTAGTTTTTGTTTTGGCATACAAGTGTCTCAGTGAGAAGAAAGATGCTGAAATTGCAACGATACTAAAGTGCAATTCAGAGGTTGTATTTTGATGGTCATGCTATGGAGACAAAGTAGAGGTTTCAGTTTTCTGAAGACACTACAAAGTGCTAGGCATTTCATTTAACATTAATAGGTGTGCTGACATTCAAGCTATGAACAAAAGTTTACATGCAAGAACTTGCCACAAGACTGTAATTCTTAAGAGCTCTTCTTGCTGTCTTGTTTTATTGCTGAAACAGAGAGCTCTTAGACGAGCATATTATGTAGGGAAAGTGTAAGGCATTAGATGGAAATTACAATTAAAACTCTAATATTTAAAAAGAAATCATGCTGTAAGCAAGCTTATTGATCAGGAAGAATGTCTGGTACCCAAAACAAGACCATCTGTTCAAACTGAAGTGCATGGTGCTACAGAAAGGGAAGGTTAAATCAGATGACAGTTAAGGTTACTCTCATTTCAGAACATTAATCAAATTCATGCAAAAAAAATAGCAGCAAGTGTTCTGTGTCTTTTTGAAGTCTATTCCCCCCTTCTTCTCTTTTAGAGTGGTGGATAGGAGGAGAGAAATATGACATCTGCTCACAACTCCCAGCTATTTTTCTTCTTCATTCAAGCAGTTGTTTCTCAATCTGAGAAAAATCCTCCTACTTAATAAAAATTGTACAAAGTAAAGCATTTTGTTAAAAGAGAGGGAGAGGAATTTGTCTTCTAATCTTTCTTAAACACTATAACTTCAAATGTTCAATCTGATAGTGATAATAAACCAAAATAAGTTGCTGACTCATTTTAAGAGGGTGTTAAGCCACAATTTCACTTCAGACAGGTGTTATCCACAAAAGTGATCTGGCAACATGAAGGTTACAAATAGTCGATTTTTTATTAGTTCTCTTGACTGTCCAAACCACTCAGCTCCTCTGCAACACTTATGTATTTATCCATTAAACAAGTTGCACACATCATTCCACTATCATGAATTTAGTTCCCTCTCTCTTCACACCACATATCAGGCAGCGAATTTTTCTTAAATAAAGCTAAAAAATATCAGGCAATGAAGAATTAATGGAAACAATGTCCAGGACATCAATTTTCATACTACACATAGAACAAACTTTCTCAGTCAACACTTCCTTGATACAACCACCATCCAAGTTTAACAAAACAGCTGTAGGAGGCTATTTACTTTCAGTACTTTTATGTTCTACTTCACATTCTTCATAGAGTTCACCTGAAACAGTAAAGTTCATTTTTACTGATTATGCCCTTCTGTCTTTCTGGTGCTCTGGTACAAGCACACTGTGAGGCAGGAGTTTGGAGGCAAGCTCGGAACACACATGTTTAGTGAATTCTGAAAAAGCAGTATCTTTAAGCCTTGTCATTTCATTCAAGTCAGATGTTTAAAACTACATTTGCTACTCACAGATCTTTAGCCAAATTTATTAATCAAAGGTTGCTAACAAATAAACATGTATTTGCTTAATTGATACTCTTGCAAAAAAACATACATTTTTAATTTCTTAAACTACATCACAACAGATAAATAAACAGTATAAAAAAATAACATTTTCAAGACCACTTTTAAATAATATGGATTTTCCCTTCTCTTCCTTTTAACATATAGCTGGCCCCATCAGCAAAACATCAGTAACTCTGGAAAAGGCTCATTATGTTTACCATACCATTAAAAATATCTTCTTTATGCTCAGTGAACCTCTAAAATAAACTATGCAAAGAAACAAACCACAGTCAAGACTCCACTTAGGATTACAATTCTCCCTCCCCTCCCCAGTTACCTCAATTACACAGAGAAAAAAATCCATTCCTTAGTATCATGACTGAGATGCATCTTTTAAAAGTATTACTTACCTTCATATGCTTCCTTTCTGTCAGATAGCATGCCAGTTATAGAAACAGATTGATGCAACACTGATTTATACAACCAAACTCCCTATATAAGCTTCATAGTACAAGGGAAGTATAATAAACCAAGTGTGAAATTGCTGCTGTATGAAGTATTGTAAATAATATAACACAAATACTTCAAGTATTTTTTTTCTATTTTAAAAATCTATTTTAAATTCAAATGCTTTGAGATTAAATAAAATTGCTCAAAGCAAGAATTATCCATTTCACCTACTGAAAAATAATTGAGGGTCTATATTCCTTATGAAATAAGCAGCAACAGATCTTGCCTGAAAAAAGGGACTGAATACAATTCAAATATACCAACTTAAGAATCTAAGTAAGACAACTTGAGTTTTGTTTCTAGAACAGCTGTATGTTATCTACATTCACTGAAGATGAGTGAATAAGATAGATAAAAGACTCTAGGAAATTAAACTAGCTGGAAATTTTCATCAACTGAGAAGCAAGCCAAAACATGACCTACTGTCCAAAATATCATATGCAAAACATTCAGCACCAATACAAGTTAGTTCTTATAGTGCTCGCCCTTTCCCAGCACCACATGTATAGGTTTCATGCTTTCTCTACCCAGCAGACTAAGTATTACAAATTTAGAAGTATGGCCTATTTGTGTGTAGCTATGCCTGTTTATAAGGATAACAAGGTTGTAACTTTCCTTCACTATTTGTTCAGTGAAAGTTTGGCTGGGCTGGGCTGCATGGCCATAAAAGAAAAGTTGAAAAACTTTCTAGTTAAACATTTCGATATCCTCCTCCACACTGTCTTTGAGAAATGCTGTATGCAGATATATTTCACTTATATTGTTAAATCTTACCCTTAGTGCCCATGGAGTCATTGCTGTTATTTATACAGGTATATTATGCCCATGATATTGTACATACAACCAATATAATATGACACGAAATCCTCGTTTACTGTGACAAAAGAATTTTTCCCCTTCCTCCACAGATATTCCACATGCATGATGGTCAGGAGAAAAGGAAAAAGGAAAAAACGATAAGCACCACCTCCAAGCTGGTGCTTGCACCAAGTCACAGAAGTTTTACAAAGACTGCTTCAGTAATTTTTGCATAATGCTTGTCAGCACTTTTGCTGAAGTGGACACATCTCTAACATGGAGGAGTGAAGTAACACTGAAGTACCAATGCACCGCACAGCAAGGAACTTTGTAATGCCTTCTTATCACATACGTGGGAACAGACAATCACTTCACCTCACTATACTGACATCAGGTGCAAAATTTTTAAGAAAGCATCTTTTTTTTTTTTGGTAGGAGTTAAATAGTCTTAGGAAGCAAATGGTATTTGAAAAAAAAATGCAAGCCACTAGCTGAGCTATTTTCAAAGCTGACTTTGCCAACTGCTTGCAACTGGCAGGCTTTCTGCAGAACTCTCCGTATAACTGGCTCATACTCCAGTTTCCATTGTATTAGAAGTAATGAGACACTGAATGCTGACATCAGCACAAACCAACCAATTCACAAATTTATTTGGAGCCAAGGATTTGAACTATAATACAAGTATATTGAGAACTATACAACACAAGTCTTTGCTGCTGTGAGTCTTGCTGTTTTTACCATCCAGTATCAACAGACAAGCATCAGTATACAAACCTTCCTCCTTTTTCTTTCAAGCTCCCATACAAGCCCAGCAAGGAGCTAAGACTAGCATTATTCTTATACATTTATCCCTTACAGAAGCATGAGGAAGACTGTGCAGCAAACAAAAAACTGATTAACTTGAAATATGACAGGTATAAGGAAAACTCTTATTTTTTAAGTAAATTAACAAAATTTAATAGACACCAGAACAAAAAGGATGCATCTTATAGCTCACCATTTCAGAGATGCAATTTGAAGGTCAAAGGCATAGAAGCATTTCCCTATCCAAGCATTAATCAAATTGTAACCACTTCCTTGGGACTATGTCTTGTACATAATTCATATCCAACTGTTCTCAGGTTTGAAACCATCTACTGTCAATTTAAAAATAAAAATCCAAGTATAGAGGTAACCACTTTAAGAACCTATCTGATAAAATAACTGCTGATCAGACCAGTGAGAGACCATTGCCTTCTGAAATTTGAAGAGATGTCCTACTTCAAGGTTTGAGTTGCAAGAATTACTATAATCAAGCCTCACTGTCACAACAAAAACCTAACCTTTGAGGTTGTTAGAGGATAAAATAACATTTCACTAACTTCTGTCTGCCTCTAGCTATGTGGAGGTAGAAATAGACTTACAGGTTTTTTTGCTATTACATACACTAAGTAGCTTCCCAGGGAGGAAAAAAAATGATTGAGTGAAGTCAATATTACTGATCAATCAGCATCTTTGAACAAGTCTTCTTTTGACATGCCCCCAGGCAACAACAAACCCTGACCATCAACAAGACAGTTATCCAAGGCTTGATACGAGAATTCAGATATTGCCAGTAGCAGGCATTCAACCCTATCTCCAGGACAGAGAATGAACTTGTAGAATGCACAGCCTGAAGAGAGATACAATATTTTTTTTAATCTGATACGCATAGATGTACACCCACAAAACTGTACAATCCCCCTTGAAGTGATCTTGGGAAGGCACTCTGTAGGGGACAAAAGGATTCTTGAAGGCTGCCATACTTCAAATCCCCAGGGGTTGATAACCAAGATGTGTTCCAGACACTGAACATCCATTGTTCACTGAAACTACAAATCACCAAAAGTCAAAAACTATCCAAATACAGACTCTTCCTTAACAGACATAGTTTCACACCAAAGAAAGCCAGGATCAAAAGTCATTAGCAATGCTCTGCATATTTCAAACTCCAGCTCTTTCAAAGCCTTCTTCCCCAAGGAAGTCTGTCCGGAGGCAATGAAGGCCAGGGTAGCAGCATCAGGCTGCTCTGGGCCCCTCTCTTCCTCTCACCCCATTCTTCAAGGCAATTCCTCACCTCCCCAGTAGGAAAGTTCTGAATGAGGCAGCACCTTAACCGGCAGCAGCAAACAATTTCCAATCAATTCTGCAGGTAACAAGCCTATGCCAGGAAGTCATTTATCTTTCCCATTGAAAGCGTAACAAACAGTCAATGGGAGAACACTGCAACATGAATTACCCAGAGAAATTGTCCACCAGTGAAAAAAATCCATTAGGCCTATGACAAAGGTCAGATAACATTGTTTGGGTTCAGTCATAATTCTTTCTTATATGAGGTTCACATTAAGATTTTGTGTAATGGAAAAGAAAAAAAGTGCAGGTGCGGGCACTCCTCAGCCATCTCTTCCACAATCTAGCTGATTAATATCTTTATCAAGTTCTGGTCAGGAAAGCCAAGCAGACTAACACACTAAGAGATTTCACTGTCTCTTTTTAATTAAAAAAAAGAGACAAAAACTCGCCTGCAAAAACCAGCATGTCAGATACACCTACACACAGACATAGGTGACAGTCTCATAAATGATAAGCATTTATGTAGAAAAATATCTAAGCAAGATGTTTAGCACAGCCTCTCTACCTAAGCACAGACACCCACAGGTGACCTGAACAAAGAAAATACCCAAAACAATTGCAAACACATGACTGGGAGACTCTAATCCTCTACTCTCTCTCCCTTATGCCCTAAGAGAGGTTAAGAGTTGATAAGTACCTGGGATGATACACGCTTATCTACCTGCGCAAAAGTGTAATTCCATAAAAGATAAACACACACCGATCTAAAAGTTCAGCTACAAAACACCACTATTTCCAAAAGGTACCTCTACATTATATCACTAGTAGATAGATTGAAGAAAACACAAAGAACGTTAAACAAATAATTTTGATGACCAGGTAGTGCAGAAATGCACTCTTCAAATGGCTACACTTTCACTTGATCTTCCAGTCAAAAAAATAATGTAACGCATTTGTCTCCATTTAATCCTACCAGCCAAGAGCATACAAAATACACAGGGATACTTTTGCACAAGTGTTGGTCTTTGCTCAGAGCAGGCCCAGGCCAAAAATAGCATTTAGTCTAAGTTACATCTCAGTCATACAAAGGATGTTCCCTGCAGGTCAAGACTGAGGTTATTCATAGGGCAAAATCAGGAAGCCATAAAGGCACAAAAATATCAAACAACCTACAATGTAAGAGTCATTAAACATGCAAAGTTTCTAGTTCCAAGACAGGCAGGAATACAAGCAACATCCAAATCTTTGAAGTAAATTATTCAAAGAAATAAACATCATTTTAGTGCATCAACTGTTTTTCAGACCATACTCTTTTTGTATGAAAAATTCACACATTAGTTAATTGTTTCAAATCAACTTCCTCAGTGGCACTTCAAACTCTTATTTGTTCTTCAGTGTATAACACAGACAACAGTAGCAATTTCTGGTTACCAGGTCACCAAACCTTGGTCTCATTTTACACTCCAGTTATCAGAATATTGCACATCTGAAAGGAAATTGGAGTGATGTGACAGGTTGTTTTGGGATTTGGTTTTGGGTTTTTTTTTGTGTTGGTTCCCCCCCCCCCAAACTAGATTTAGTACAGTCTCACCACTAGACTTACACAGAGTTTAAAAATCCAACTTCGTCACCTTACTGATAAGCAACTGGAAAGCCATCTACTCTGGGAACTGAGATGAACTAGTAAACGTTTTCAAAACAAGGTGCCAAATTTGAAGTACAACATTATTGAGAAATACAAATATTGTCAGTCTTCCATAAGTTTAAGTTTGAAAGGTTCAGACCACTGGGAAAGAGGGAGAGAAAAATCGTAAAAACACACGGTTTAGAGATTTCTACATGAAAACAGCAAGCTAGTCTCAGATGCCTTCTTTTGAGGGCTTCACACCAATGATTTGACTTTCAATCAAAGCAACTCCATAAGGTTCAGTGTTGCCCAGAACTCTACAATACCTATTATGTAATAAAATAGGGTTTACTATTTGAATTTGAAAGTTCTAATTGCCCAACAAAAAGGATCTTATCAAAACATGTTTAAGACATCACTTCTGGATCACAGGCACAGCTTTAGGCACAGCTTTCTTGTGAAGAAGCTGCCAGAATTCATAGGCTTGTGTTTTTATTTTGTATTGTTTTTTCCTTTTTGTTTCTTGCTTTGTTTTTCAAAAGACACAAGTGGGGAGCTAAACCTTGTTTCTCAAAAATTTAGCAGACCAAGACCACCTAAACACAGACAGTAGCTGTTTGATCACTGCGCTGCTGTAATAATTTGGTATGGATTGTAGCAATAGATGTATCTATCTATAGACAACAGTCCATCCACAGATTTCCTAGGGGCTGGCAGAAGACAGCCCTCAGTAACAACATCTTTTCACTGCCCAGAAGGTATTCATTTCCTCCTACCTGAGAGATCATGATGAATAAGGTCAGCAAAGTTGGGGTCATCACCCCACCAAAATATCCACAGCTCCCTGCGTCCAGGTCTCTGGTCTCGGCGCCAAACACTGAGCACATCCGCCTTCAGACAGCGACTGAAACTGCTCAAAATAGGGTCCTCTTCCGTGACCGGAAAGAGAATTGGGGCAGATGTTGGACCCTGCCATACATATCGCTTCCATTTAATCCCAGTTAGATCAGCCTAAGGGAAGAAAAAAGAACAAGTCAGACACTGGGGTAGGTGCATCCCCAACAGAAATATCCTGCTGTAACAAGATGATGGCACAGGAAGAGGGGGTGGAAAGAAGAAAGGAAGGATTAATCCAACAAAATTTAACAGAAACCATACTTGTAATTTTTGTGTACCCTAGAAGATAAGCTGGAAATAATCAGGCACTCTGTTTTAAAAATCTCCTTTTAATAACTGCAGTAAAGCAAGAGCTGTTCATTTTCACTGCAGCTTTGAGATTAGAAAGGTCAGATTTTATTTAAAATAAAAAAGTGAAAGACGAGTGAATAATGTAATTATTTGCAGACTGCAACTGTCCAATCTACTAACCACTTGCCTTAGCAAAGAACATCTTTCTTTTTGCTTACTACCTTTTCAATCCAAGATAAAGTAATATAGTAAATCTAACTCAAGCATACATTCTTCCAGGCATCTACTACTTAGAAACTCAATTTTTTACAACTGAGGAACATGGGAAATTTTCCAGTATCTCACACAGGAAGCTTCTCAAGTACACTTATTTTACCAAGAGCTATCACAGTTTTCAATTCTCACATCATATTTTAATAATTTAAATCCTGCTTTTATCATTAAATTCTGTATCAGACTTGCACTCACATTGATTATGATCCACTAAATCCCCTTCTAGGCAAAAATTAATTTGACTTCATAAAGTAAGAGAATTACTACTATACGTAATGGGAAATAGACAATTCCTGGATTATCTACAAGGCACTACCACGTTAAGTTTCAGCGCTCAGCTTTTTCACAAGGACAGTCACCTTAAGGCAGGTAGGAGAGGCATTGCCCCCAGGTTCTCTCGGAGAAGGGAGAACAAGGTAGGCTGGCATTTGCTAAAAGTCACTACTTGTATTTTCCTTCCCAACATGACAACACACAAAAGATTACTGCAACATTTAAACCTAACATGGCAGCCTGTCTACCTTCAGAAGGAGAAGCAATTTAGATGAAAGGTAGGGAGTCTGCAACAGTTGATACTTTAGAAAGACTAAGATTTAAAAATGCACTATTAATATGGAGCTGCAGGCCTGATGCAGGCTGCAGACATGTTCAGGCTGTGCAGATTCCCCTTCATGCAAACAATATTAGTACCAGAGCTTGGCACAGGATTTTACTTGTAACAATCTCTAGAATAATAAATATCAGGCAGTCAGCTAAGATTAGCTCATTTGCATTAAAAAGCAGATGAAACAGCTCAGCATAGCCACCAAAAATTGCATCACAGTCCAGTTAAATCAAATTTACTTTGGGAGCTACCAAAATCAACAATTTGAATGATTTCATACTCGGGTTTGAAAAGACTACAAAATGGTGCACAAGAAAACATAAGACACCACCGATTCACCGGCAGTGCATCACCAAAAGCAGACCTCCAGAATAAAAACAAGCGGTAAAAGAGATCACTTTAAAAGCAAGGAAGGGAGGTTTCGGCTCAGATTTGTCTGGGATATCGCGAGCGGGGAGAGAAAAGAGAAAGTTCCCTGAGATGTAGGGCTGCAAGCAGCAGCAGAACCCCTTACCTCCTACGAGAAATAGCACGTTCAGAGGCTGAGACAGAAAGATAGAGAGAAAAGAGGAAAAGTTGCAGGCAAGGAAAGCGAAGGAAAAGGCGAGTGGCAGGGAGGATACAACCCAGGAAGAAAGCGGAGGGAGGGGCAAGCCGAGACAGACAGCGATGGAGGGGGAACCAGAGGGGCATGGGAGAGTTGGCTGGCTCCAGGCAGGGCCTACTCGGAGGACTCATCCAACAGAAGCTATGCTAAAAATGGCTGCTTTGCTTCCACTATACCCCTTCCTCCCCTCCCCCAAACCGCCTCTCCCTCTCCCTCTATATCTACCGTGCGTGTGTGTGCCGGTGGCCGGCGCTTACCAGGCAGAAGAGGTTGGAATGGCAATCCTCCAGGCTGGCCCCGTTCGGCACGAAGCAGGAACTCATCCTCACAGCCACAACCCACACGCCATTATCCCACAGCCTCCGACAAGAAAGAAAGAGACAGACAGAGAGAGAGGGAGAGAGAGACAGACACCGAGAGGGAAAGGGGGAGGGGGGACTCTGCACACGCACAAATAATAATACAATTAAATAAGGGATTTACATACAGACACACACGCACGCGAAATAGTGGCAGGATAAATAACCCAGGAGGAGAGTGGTATCGGAGAGAGGGGTAAAAAAATATATATTAAAAAATTTAAAAAAAAATTAAGATAAACTCGGAACGTTTTCTCTTCTTCTGGATATCAAACGGGGGGGTAAAGCCACCGTGGAAGGGGAGAACAGAAAGAGGGAGGTGGTAAGTAATCCAACGACGGGAGATTAAGATCAAAATCCTCCCTGTTCCTCTTGTCTTCTCATTCGCAGGAGGAGGGGAGGGAGAGGAGGTAAGGTGAAGGGGTAATTGATCCAGCAAGAGAATAAAAATGGGGTAATTAATCCGGGGGGGCTAGGGGTAAAAATCAGTTGACATCCCTCCTTCTCAGATGCCAAGCAAGAGAAGTAGGAAAAAATAAATAATCCAGTGGGGGCAATTAATCCAGAAACCTCCCTCCTCTTCCTCCTGTTTCTTTAGTCATCAGATGAGAAAGGGGCAAATTGTGGAATGACTGGGAAGGATTGGCTGTGGGAGAGAAAAATCCAGGCTCGTCTCTTCGGAGTCCGAGGGCAACAGGGTGGCTCTTCCTCCTGTTTCTTTAGTCATCAGATGAGAAAGGGGCAAATTGTGGAATGACTGGGAAGGATTGGCTGTGGGAGAGAAAAATCCAGGCTCGTCTCTTCGGAGTCCGAGGGCAACAGGGTGG